TCCAAGTACAATCGATTATGACTAGTAATAATCAGATACATACAGATTAGAGATGCATGAGCCAGCATCTCTGTTAGTGGCAAAAACAATGAGTCTTTCTTCAAGGGACAATATATTCTAAAATGAAATGGAGATCTTTTTTAAACGTTGGAATCTCGTTTAATTTTATGTCTTATAGAGTTTATAATGAGTAAAAGATTATATAAGCATAATAATCCATCTGTAAACCTAGAAATGTACAGCCAATTCTGAAAGAGATGTACCCTAGGTCAGAAAAATGTTATTGAATAGGTTAATGCTGTTGTAATGAAATGCTTCTTCTAATTAAAAAAATAAGGTCTTTATAAGAGATAAATCAGTATCACTCCATATGATAAACTAATGAATTTGTTTGAAAAGTTCTACTCCAAAGTCTTTATTGAGATTTTTCTTAAAGAAACAAAAAATATATATACGCATATATGGAGGATGGGGAGATAGCCCAGTCAGTAAAGTACTTATCTCACCCAGAACCCACATAAAAATGTCAAGCATAATGTAATCCCAGTGTTGGAGAGGCAGAGACAGGAGGATGCCTAGGGATCTCTGGCTAGCCAGCCTAGCCTACTTGCTGAGTTCCAGGCTGGTGAAAGACCCTGTCTCAAATAAAATAAAAAAGATGCATGGTACCTGAGGCCTGATGAAAGGGTTATCTGCTGGCACTAATCATTTATGAACAGACATGCACCCACATAGACACTCACTACTACTCAAACATACAGACAAAAAAGAAAATAAGTGGTTGAGATGAAGAGATTATCATGTATTAATAAGAGTAATGCTTGAGAAAATAATCTTTCAACAAAAATGCAAGTCAGGCTCAATGTCCAAACCTTATATCTACAGTATTTAATTTCTACAATAAGTTTGTGTATATAATAGACAAGAAGATAGAATCTAGTACCAGAGACAAAGTGGGTCTGAATCCTGGCTCTGCTACTTAGTCCAGTTTAAGCTTGATAAAGTACTTAACATGTCTACATCCTCATTTGTAAAATAAGGAGGTTAAAACTGAATCTATACCAAAGAGGACTATAAAGATGAAATGACTTACATATAAAGCTCCTAGAACACTGATCAGTACACAGTGAAACATTCTATATTAGTTATTTTATTAGTATATAAGAACATCCTAAAGATGTAAATAAAGTAAGAATCTTCGTTAATAAGAATGCTTTAGTGAAAGGATTTTCTTTTCAACAGTTCTTATTTCCTCAATTTGGCATTCAAGTCTCTTGCTCAATTAGTCCCACTGTAATTATCTGATTATATTTCCTACTACTTCCTGGAACAAAATTTTCTGTTTTCTTAAATAGCCAGCTATTTTTCCCCTTAGGGTCTTTGCTAAACAAGTTATTTATTTATTTATTATTTATTTTTACTGAGAAATGCTATCAAAACTCTTGTAGCCCATTCTGGCTAACCTGAATCATGTAGTTCCTTTAAGACCAAGTTCCCCTGTGAAATCTTTACTGGCATTCCCAAGCAATAACACTTGTTGCTTCTCTGAATACTTATAACACTTAAGTTTTATATTACACAACCGTGTATTTACTTATTAGATTGGTTATTACAACTACTTTGGAAGTGTTGCATATATACTATATATGTCTCCTTATCCAGATTATAAGGTCTTTGAGAACACTATGATTTCTACATCTGGATTTGTATTTTTAATTTCAAGGAACAATAAGGCACAGCATGTTGACTTAACTATATCATGGAATGGCTGAAGTATACACATCTACTTTTCCATTTTGGAAGCTTTGGTGAGTTGAGTGTTGATTTTGCTCTATGAGCATTTCTTTTTTGATCTATCACATACAATTTTGAGAAAAATTAAAATCAATTATAAATGAGGCTTTTGGCTCTTTTCCTATTTCTACCCACTTGAAAAGAATTCAGATTTCAAGCTAGCTTTGAATGAGAATATAAGTAGTCTGCCAGATACGAGGCAGGAAATTATTAAAAGCATAAAGGGAAGCAAATTAGAAGAGTAGAAGAAGAAAGGGAAATTCGATTTAGCTCAAAAATATGAGTATGTGAATGTAGACTAGATATAAAATAAAAACGGGAGTCACAAATGTAACATAATGTCAATTAACAATATGATTGAAGTTTTGATAGTGGGAAAAGCAGCAGTAAAGAAGATATGCAATGTCAGCATGAATATTATAGAGAAAAGAAATTACTTGAGATGGTGAAAAATTAGGGTTTTGACTGGGGATGTAGCTTAATGGCAGAGTGCTTGCCTAGCATGCACAAGACCCTGACTTTGATCTCGGGCACTGCAAAAGAAAAACAAAGTACATTATGAATTGAAGATTTTACTTAAGAATCAAGAATCAAAACTGTCACAAGTATAAAAAAGTGGAATTGTTAAATAAATAAAATGTTTAATGAACAAAAAAATGATATTTAGGGAGATGAAATGCTGCTTGCCTTGATTGGATCA